ATCTTATATTTCATTGAACATTAGTTCATTTTCATTTAGTGTTAATTCTGTCAAAAGTTTGAACTTGTTTTTTCTGAGCAAGTGCAAGATGTTATTCCACTATGGCGAATATCCTAGACTAAAATTCATTCTGCCTGTAACTAACCCAAAAGTCTAGGTCACGTTCCTAGCTCTTGCTCTTTAGAAATTAACCCTGGCACGAAGCCTCGACAGAGAGTGAGAAAGGAGAGAGATGAGGAAAGACACCATTTTTCGTTTCACTGAGCTGTTTTTTCTACACCCGAAAAATCAGCATTTGGCAATCAGATTTGACTCTTTTGCTAACAAGCAGATCTTTGCCTATCGGCTCACGACACCTTCAGTCACGATCCAAACAACCAGCTTTGACGCTCCCTTGTTTTTAAAACTTCTGAGGAGAAGTATTTTACTTTGAAGAAAAAACTGAAATGGATTTGGCTCCCTCCTTTGAACAGAGGCAGATTTCCGGAGACGCTGTAAAGCAAAACCTTGGACGTTTTTGCTGGCAGTAAGAGACCTGACCTGGCCTCCCTACTAACCTGGGTGAATTCTTCCTACACGCATAACCTGACGGTCAAAACACCAACAGGTAAAATTTTCCCTGCAAGACCCAAACCGGAAGGACGGAGACAGCACAAAGCGAGGCAGACTCAGACGCTGATAGAACTTGCAGTCTTAGGGAAGCCACTACTTCCCATTTTTGACTGAACTTCTAAATTAGGACAGCTTTATCTAGGATAGCATTCCTGTAAGGAGCTTTTTACCAATGGAAGTACAGAACTTCTGACTTTTCCATTCTGATCAGTCAATTTATTTTAACAATCACAGCCTGAAGAATTAGGGAAAGATGAAGTTGATTTTATGTATTATTTTGATTATTTTATTACCATTGCTGATTTGCTGAATTTATGCTCTGGCTGTAACTGTAAATTGCAACAATTAATAAAAGCAAGCAAGAAGAAAAATCAAAAATTTGATGACATGAGTTTTGGAGTCATATTTAATGTTGCTTTATCGTGGTGTCAAAGATGTAAAGCTATTGCGTTTTCAAATCTTTTTAGGTTATTATTGGTTGCACTTAGTCCAAAATTATTAAAACAAATGTCTTAGAGTTTACATCTAGACCACTAGGAAGGCGCTTTGTGTAAATAGATGGTGCTTTGTACCAGCAAGTGTTTAGGCAGCTCCACRTGACTACCACAGGAGATTCAAGGATTTCTTGAGCATGCATGAATGAGTCAAAGCAACAATCTAGGTATGTTTTTGATGAAGGAAGGACATTGTGATATAAAGCACAAAAACTTCAGTTTTGCATAATCTACCCCAAGACTGGACATATTTCATTAGATCCAATAAAAGATTTAGGCACACTAATGCATTTTAAATTGTTAAGGTTATCTTTACAGACCAAGGAGTGGGTGCTTCCTGTTGTCGTCACTCTGGTAGTCTTGGATTTTGATTCTCTTTTGCAGAATATCTGAAAACACATAACAAGGATGATGAGCAGAGTAAATTTAATATATGAATCCAGATAAAATGGTAATTCTACTTAATTTTTAATTACATAATTTTCATCTTCACATGTATTTTTAAGTTATTACTGCTCCTACAAAAGCATCAAATCATTGTACAACTCTCAGTGACAAACTGATTAAATACAATTAATACCTCAATGTATAATTTGGGAACATTCTTTGGCAATCACCCCAGATGATAGTGCATTTTATAAACTGTAAAAAACCACACCCAAAATAAAAATGGAAAGATGACTGTTCAGCAGCCCACACATTCACAAATAAAAATCATGTCTACAGCAGTGAATCAAACGACTTCAGACCAAGCCTTATGTATGGGTCACCTCGAGTGAAGAAACAAGAGTTACTGCCTCAAAGCATGTCTCGGAAAGGCCTGACAGAAGGCAGGAACACTGAACTCTATTTAGGCCATGACAGGTCATTTCAACCTAGAAGAGAACTTCAGTTCTCTTAATCAGATAATGAACAGAAACAATATTTTCTGTTTGTGAATAATTTATTGTTTAACTAAGAATGTTTATGCATTTGTTAATCATAATAATGACTGTCACAAAGAAAGGAAGAATCACTTCTACTCTTTTATCGTGCCTAAAAGATTAATTAATGGTATAAAAATCACAGAGAAAATCATCACCATGTTTTCATTGTGTTTTTATATAAATCACTGTTTTTAATTTACTGGAAACATCAGTAATATAATTTTGAGTTTTTCTTGAGAAAATCTTTCATTTATCTGGACCACCAAGTTTCAGACTGATTATTTAAACAGAAATGTTAATTAATCATCATAAATGTTTTACAGTGATTTCTCTTAGTCTATCAGAAAGAAAGCTAAAGAAGATATCACATTCTGTTAAAACAGCCACAGAATTCAACCTTGACTGGCGCCACTGGCAAAGCTCTTCTTTCCTTTCTCTGACTCATCTCTAACGCCTGAGGGCGGAACCAAAGTCGTCCGCCTCTATTACTAACACGGACGTCTTTGAGAGACGAACACACTTCTTCCTGAATGCCGAAACAGGGAGACCGGCTGATTTCTCTCTTGGGAGGAACCAGCTCGGCCGCAGGTCTGGCCCATAAGCCAAATAGGGCAGATTTGACGGCCAGGACAGCGAGCACGCCGCTTCTGTCCACACGGAGACTCACGTCTCTTAAGTGTTTTTAACTCCAGAGAGGAGAACTTTTATTTTGAAGGACAAACGGAAACTTCAGCTCAAATCTTTCTGGTGAAGTTTGAAGCAGACGAAAAGTTGCCTAAAATAACACTTTCTCGCCACGGAGCATTGAGCGGGCCGAGGAACTCGTTCCCTGACTGGTCTGGGGTGAGGCGGTATTTGCCCGGAGTGTGGTAAAGAAGCCAGCTACAGGTAAACGCTGTCGTGTTCCGGGGTGAAGTGTCATGTGGAAATCTGAGCGCAGAGAGGACGATGCTGATCCGGTTGTCACATACCCTTAACAAAATAAAAGCAGAAACACTAACCTTAATTTCATCCCTTTTCTTATCCTTATTTGCCAATCTTAAGTTGAAAGTGCCAGTAAAATTGTTTGGTTGTTAACATCAGAACTGACGTTTTACTGTTCTATAAGTAATCTGAGTTTAATGTGAATTAAAATTCGGACGCGAGTTTTATCTCAATTTAACTGACGCTTGTTATAGGAAAATCCACAATCCAGTGTAACTTATGATCTGTTCAATTTGTGTAAATAAATGATTGCATAATCTTTTATGAATCAACTTGAACTCGTCTGAAGTTCACTTGTTGTGTCACTTTTCACTTTGCACAGTCAAAATATTAAAGTAATGAGAAAATACCTTGGTAAAAATTTCTCTCATAACTAAGTTATGAGAAGTATGTGGAAGGCTTATTTTACATAAGTCTACTTCCTACACTTACATAAAAACAGATTATGACTAATCAATGGCTAAAACAAATTCACCAGTAAAACAGACCCATCATAAGAGGTGTGTTTACGAAAAAGACAAAAAATGCTTCTGTGTTCACTTGTCCTGCAGAGAAGTTCAACTTTTCAGTATTTAGTGATGATTTTTACAATTTGCCAGTAAATTGGGGGCTTATCAGACTTCTAATTGGTACAGTTTTGCAAATGCCTAAGGCTTTAGGGCACATAAATATATGATCCTATGATCCTATAAGACTATAGCCATGTTTCCATCCAATTTTAATTTGAATTTTGAGCAAATGTTTAAAATGTCGCAAAAAGGAAAACAAAAAACAAATCAGACCTGTTTACATCAACTGGCTTGTAGCAAATCAACTAGGCTACACAAAGCAATTACAGCAGTCGTTGACATTATGCATGGCTGTTGTAAACAGGAAGTAGAAGTCGCAAACTCGCAGGGATACACATCTCAGGACAATGGAGAAAAGTTATCAGGAATGTGTTGCTACCATCAGGAAAGTTGTAATTATTCTGTCATATCAACTAGTTTTAGCAAAGTTATATGTTGTCTGGAGACATACAGAAAGAAATTTAATTCTTTTCACGATACTGAGAAGACGCCAACAGCATACCAGACAGCCAGCTGGAACAGCTGATCAATCCTGTGAGGTAAATGTTCCCTATGTCAATTTATTTGGCAAAAGTTTCTCCATCTCCCCTTTGGCGCATTAGCTCTTTTTCAAAAAATCCTAAAACCACCTCAAGCAAGCTTAAAAACTTTTGTGCAAAATTGTTTTATTTATATTTTTTTAATCGTGCCATTTCCATTCACCTTTTTCTAATGAAATACGTCAAGATGCGCATAAAAAATGTTGATGGAAACAGGGATTATGCAACCAAAACAACATGGATCACATGCAGATATTACCATTTCCACTATGAAAAATAAATCTGAGCAGGTATTCTGGCTGAGTAGTGCCATTAGTGCCATTTATGCTAAATGATTTTTACAAAAGGAGGAGACCACTGTTTAGATAACAGTTAGTGATGAAATCATGGCATATTTCCATACAGTTAAGGATTAAATGTTAGCTTAGTAACTCTCTAATTTACAAGTAATCACAATAAATAAACAAATAAATAAATAAAATAGTGAACTTACTTTCAAACAGCTGAGCAAGAGTCGTATTTTCATTTAAAGTTTGCATCACTGCAGGGATTAATTAGATAATGTTCATTAATACTTTAAAAATATATCAAATATAAAATAGATCAACCAAAAAAATTATTTACCTTCTGAGTAGGTTTTTGATCCAAGCCTTTCCAGCAGCTGTTCGGGTAAAGTCAAAATCTGCAAATATAAAAAGTGATACAAATACATAATTCTGTTGCTACTACAACTTTTAGACCAGTCTATTTTAGATTATATGCTACAGCAAGGCAGTAGTGAATAGCCAGTTGACCTTAATAAGTCAAGATGGGCCTTTACATGCACGCACGCACACACACACACACACACAAAATAGTAGTGAAGCCTGATCCCAAACAAACACATACTCTGAGCAGAAATTGCATATAATCTTGGTTTAAAATGTTACCAATAACTTGAATCACTTTCCTCCTTGGCCACCACAGCAAACTGACATTAGCAATCACAAAAATGGCTATAACTCAATTTTGCAAATATTGAGCTAAAATTTGTTGTGATAGTTAAGTCATTCACAACCCAAACTTTGATTTTGACATTCTGCAATACTGCATGAGAGTGCAAGTTATCCTTTTCGAGGTTTGACCAAAACGGCCTCAACTTATAGATAAAATTATTATAGTTGGAGATAAAATTCATGCCAACCTTCCTGCTATGTCCTCTAATTCTGTCAGATGAGGCAGCTTTAGAAATGTCACTAGAACCTGATTTATGTTTGGACTGTTTTTGTCCTGTTGAGCTCTCTGGATCATCTAAAATAGCTTCATCCAAACCATCAACATGTCTGCTAGATCCCATCCCAACCAGACTGTTCAAAGAAGCATTTCCCTTGATTAATATCCATTTTTTAGATGTACTTAATTTGTCTCTAATGAATGGTTATGTGGCAAAAAGCTTTAAAGAGGAACTTACCCCAAAATTAACTTTTTTTAGCTGATAAACTGTCTAGAATGTGTCTAAAATGTTATATAGTAC